TTGGAACTAAGGTAAGTATTTGTGACTTTAGTTCTGCTGTAATACTGGACACTGTGTCACCAGGTTAACCCTAAACTGTTCTGTTAGGGCTCATTTAGACTAGCTTTTGCATTTGGATCAGGGGTGGACTGACAACTCATGGGGCCCCCAGGCAACAGGGGATCATGGGGCCCCTGTGTCCTTGCCCAAACTCAAAAAAGCCTATGAAAAAGGTACCAGGGGCATCTCATGGGGCCCCCTACTGACCCCGGGCCCTCGGGCCGTGCCCGAGTTTCCAAATGGTCAGTCAGCCCCTGATTCGGATTGCTCTTCAAAGAGCATTTGACAGGCAGTGAGGATTCTTTGTATCTACTCCTCACTGCCTTCTTTAAACCATTTCATGTCTGGACACTTTTACCCCCTTCCTGTCCAGGCCAATTTTCAGCTTTCAGTGCTATCACACTTTGAATGACAATTGCGCGGTCAACAACACTGTACTCATATTAATTTTTTTAGCATTTTTTTGAGACAGATAAAACTTTATTTTGGTGGTATTTATTCACCACTGGGATTTTTATTTTTTTGCTATATAAATGAAAAAGACCAAACATTTTGAAAAAAAAGTGTTTTTCTTATAAAAATTTTGCGAATAAATAATCTTTCTTCATAAATCTTGGCCAAAATGTATTCATCTATCTTTTTAGTACAATGAAAAAAATAACCCAAATTAGTTTATAAACAAAAATTATAATTTTTCAAAAATGTTTATGACATTTTTATTTTATTTATATTATTATTTGTGTTTTTTTGTTGTTTTTTTTTTTAACATACTGTCACCCTAGCAGTACAGTGTCACCTAGTGACACTGTACTATTTGTGGGGGGTGATGAAGATTTTTTTTTTTTTTTTTACACTGATTGCTTTTTTTCACCCATAAAGGCTGTAAAAGCAATAATCTCTCCTTCTCTCTGGCTGAATTCTTGCAGCCATTGAGAAATACTGTGAGAGCTGTGATTGGTTACAGCTTGTTGTGAATAACCTTGTACCATGTGACCTCTGTGATCATTCACAGATTTCACAAGTAGTAAGCAGCGATGTCAGAAGTGAAATCTTGCTTACTACTATTCATGTGATCACTGATTGGCTAATCAGTGATCACATGATCGGGACCTCACACAGAAGTCCCATACAGCGATCGGTGTTCCGCTGTGTCCTCCGGACACAGCGGGCACTGGATCGCGGTGCCGTGCGCTCTTAAGGAGCACGCACGGGCAGGGAAGTGGGGAGGACGTTTATAAATGGCCATCTGCTCCTGCAATGCTCCTATCTTGCCGTTATATACATGGGTTGGACGGGAAGTGGTTAACCCCTTGAACCATTGCGTTTATTTAAATGGATTGCGTTCGTGCTATACCCGCTGAAAGCAAAAAGGTGTATAATTCTTGCTGAGGCCATGAAGCAAAGCATCACGGCATCTGCCTGTACAGCTAAAGGAGGTAGAGGATGGGGGTGCGGTATAACCGCAAGCGTGATCGAGACATAAAAGTGACTACTAACCTGTACTATTTCATTGCCCAAATGATGCAGCTATTGCTAAATGCATTCATGTTTAAAAAAACAAAGAAAAAGTGTTGGCTTTAGATAAAATGTTTACCTTGTGCCTGGAATATGATCATCTAAAATATTGTCTGCATTCTGGATCCAGGCCGGTCCTACTAGAAATGGCTCTTGGCCGCACAGACACTTAATAAAGTGTCTAAATAGATGGTGTTTCTGTTGCTCCCAGCTCAGGATCATTTACAGTTTACATTGTTACCTTGAAAGGGCAGTTATCAGAACTAATCCACCCTTCAAGGCTTTTCCTCAGGATAATGATTGTTTCAATGATTCATCTGTTTCAGCCCCAGCCCTTCCTTATTCGCACAAAATCTCCCACTCCCTGTTATAATTCTAGGTCAGGCTCGTGCCATACATGTGATTTCCTTCTGGCTCATGGACAAGCTGATGAAGGCCAGAGGTCAAGCTTCCCTCTCCTGGGCTGGGGCTGCTCTTAGTGGGTCATTTCATACGCAATTAACTGAACGCTATCAGATCGGTGACTATTTTAAATAACACGGTTGTATCTTCTTTCCCTTGTCTATCTGTGGCCAGGCGGAGCCCTCACTGCATAGTAATAGGAGTCGTTTGGTCATTGGGAACCTGTTATCATGAACACATCCTGCCATGTTATCAGAGTCATTAGTTACTGTCTGATGCTGGCTAAGAAATGCTCCCTAAGCATTCATGAACTTGTCAGGGCTGCAAACCTTAAGGAAACACAATTTACAGATGCTGAAAAAAAATCCTTGGTGGTTTTGGCACAGATCACACTGATCGTCAAAGGAGAAAGTCAGATGAGAGAGTTGACATAAGCACTTTCTGAGAACTATATTACACATTACAGGAAAGAGTGTAAAATATCCTGTTAAGCACATTGTTATATTTAGTGTGCAGTGATGTCATTGTTTGTATATTGTACTTGCTGTGCTCTCATGTCACATATGTGTGAAAATATAGGTAACGCTTCTAGAGTAATGACATCCTCACTTGTTTGGACGCTGCGGAGGGCATACTCAGCAAAGCCCAAAAACGAAAGCAGCCAATTATATTTCAGTTGACTGTATTTAGAGAAGTGAAAGATTATTTCCGATTGGTTACCATATTTCACTGCAGTTTTCAGATCACTTACTTATTGTATAAAGCCATTTATATTACTTCTGTTATTGGCTTATGTTGAAATTTTCAGCATTTCTGAAAATAAAATGATGTAGGATAAGACATTTCTCGAAAATGGAGGTTGGTGTAATAGAAACAGAAATTCACCCCTTTTAGTATGTTGTATAAAGACAGCAGATGTTCCCAAGAGGTTCATTGACTAATAGTATTTATTAGAGTTCTATCTATATAGAACTCTATCCAATTTCATTTTTCTTTGGGTGGTGTAGGATCAGGTTTAGTTTCCTTCCAAGTCTTACCCCTGGTTCACATATCCGCATTCCACGTTTTGCGTGCCCATTCATTTGAATGGACTCCCATGCCCCGGGACACACAGGTAAGAAGTCCCTGCACTTCTTCTGAAAATGCAGTCCACTCGGGAACCTCGGTTCCCAGTACGGTTGCAATTTCCAGTGCGGGCGGCGTGACATTAGAATTAATGGCACCCGCCCGCGCGTCCGCATTCCTCTGTGCGGGTGGTGCAGCTGCATGGATTTTTGTGCGGATCCACAGCAGCACCACCCACACAGATGTGAACCTAGCCTTAAAGCGGAACTAAAGCCATTGATTTAAATGTATCTACAAATAGTTACTTTCAAGAAATGCTGTGAATAACTGTCACAGTCACATGTGTTCTCAACCGAACTGACAAACCATCAGATAACTGATGTAATAACTGACCACATGTGCAGCACCATATCAACTGCAGATCAAATGGAGGCTAAGATGGTTTCTTCCTTGGCTGTAAAGGATCAGAGGATTTAGTTCCACTTTAACTGCTCTCTGTAACCTTAGGGAGGTCAAGTCAGCTGTTCCTTTGCTGAAAACCATGCCTCATTGTACCTAAGCAAAATGGATTCCCAATTCACAGAATTACTAAATTTAAATTTTTTAAAGAATTTAAAAAAAAAAGTGGTCTCTGAACTGCATCATGGGGACTGGATGCAGCCCTTTGCTTGCCTTGATCCTGCCCTTGCGGCACTATTCCTCCCATTGATAAGAGTCAACTGACATAAACCATTTCTCCCACCTACACCAATAATGGGGCACTATTCCTCACAATGATACTAACGATGGGGCACTATTCCTCCCCTAATATCACATGTGGTGATGTTTACTCCTACCGATGCCATGAAAATTTTCACTCCCATTGGCCACAGTCCAGGCCCCCATAAAGTCTGAAGGACAATACCCTTGCCCTTTGTTTAGAAAGTTTGAAGACCCTCTGCACTAGACTACTGCCACACCCAAAGTATAGACAGTTAGTAGTAGTCTATACTATTGATAGTAACACTAGAAAACTGCCTTATAAGAGAACATGGGGCTTTTGGTGACATCAGAATTTATACAGGGAAGCCTACTGCACCTTCGCCTAAAACTGTACTTGAGTCACCTCCACAAGATCATCCCCTGCAGCTATTACCTTTTGTACCCCCCCCCTTTAGATTGTAAGCTCCATGAGTAGAGTCTTAATATTCCTATATTAGGGTTTTGTAATTGTACTGTCCCCTTTACATTGTAAAGCAATGTGCAAACTGTTGGCGCTATATAAATCCTGTATAATAATAATAATACTTGACAGACCTCAGTCAACACAATGTGGATGGAGTACAACTGTAAGTCAATTGGTCTTGAATTTGCTTTGATTTTGGAACTCTCAATAGGTGGGTTGAGAAAAAAGGGACTCCAATGTGACCTCCTTCCTCTTTATGCTGAAGAGTTGTTTAAAGCTGAACTCGGGCAAAACTTTAATTTAAATTTAATCCTCTATAGCAGGGCTTAAATTTCAAGTCCTGAGCTACTAGCCAGGCCTTAAGAGTTACTCACAGGCACGTACAGACACACATACACACAGATACATGTACATACACAGAAATACACACGCACAGACACATGTACATACACACAGACACATGTACATACATACACAGACACATGTATGTACATACACACACACAAACATGTACATGCATACACACACAGCCCTATAAAAAGTTGCAGTACTTCGTTGTTCACTCACAGAGCCGTGTACTGCACTCTAGGGGGAGGCAGAGAGCACAGCACACACTCCTTCCTTTGCTTTCACTGCGCTCAGCTATTGAGCAGTCTGCCGGCTCCCAGTGCCAATGACAGATCCGGCCTGAGCTCCGAGCCTGCTTAGCAAGACGGCCCTGAGGGACACACTCGCCCCCACTATAATATCCGCTCGCCATTGGTGAGCAGGTGAGTGGAAATTTCAAGGCCTGCTCTATAGTCACAAAGGATATACAGTAAATTCACTTTGTGTGTTCAAATGCCTTTGCAAACCCAACTGTTACTTTGCAAAAGTAACAGTGACATCATCACGGTACTGCACATAGTCTTTGCAGAGAGCAGAGCTGTGGGAGGGGCCCAGCAGGTCCACTCACCACAGGCTGCCTGCAGAAAATTACAGGAGGGGGTGGAGACAAGACCAGGCACTCTGCACAAGGAGAAAGAGCAGCAGTGACCAGTCTTTGTTTCAGGCAGCTCATGTTCAAAAGGCAAAGTTTCACACCGGATTACTGCACAGACTTGGAAGAAATACACAAATCATACCAAGATTTGAGTAAGAATAACAGCGCACCTTGTATTTACACAATATATTAACTCAGAGTTCAGTTTTAACAAATAATTTATTATATGATGTAGGTAGTCTTTGTACTGACACAGTTTGATGAATCTGGAACAATTTGTAAAGCATATCCCTAAGAACTTTCTTAATTAAATCCCCATTATACATCACTTTTATCTTTAACTGCACCTGGATGTAGTGGCTGCACAGTCTGCTGATTCCGCAGACTGATGTGTCAAGAATAATGATGGTGATGCAAAATGGACGCTGACCCAGGGGTGGAATAGCCAAACTGTAAACCTTCAATGGACACAAAGCAAGCAGACAATGAGCCGGACCTGGAGAAACTATAAAAAGGCAGAGCAATGTTAATAATGGATTTGAAAAATGCTAATTTGGTAGGACAGGTTCAATGGATGCCACTAGCGTCCTCTTCAATCAAGCTCCAGGCTCAGCGCTGTTCAGGCAGCTCCTTGAGGCTTTAGAGAATTCACTGGCCACATCAAACTGGAATTCAATGATAAAAAGAATAGCCCCTTTCATTGCAAGCACTTGGCAGGTTTAAAGCTGGCTTGTTCTTAACCAGGTCTCGTACACTGACAATATTTGTTTTATAGGGAGAGTGCGGTGCTGAAGGGAAGAGTCGATGGCTTCAAATAAAATCCTCTTTATGTTTTCAGAATCCTGTTAAAACACACTGTTCATTGAAGTACAAAGAAAATTATCTAAGCAAGCCGAAAGGAGCAGCCATCTATAAAAGCGTGGTGCCTTTCCATCGGTGACTGTCCTTTAAATAGCTCCCTTGTGTGAGCATGGTTTAAACTGGGATTTTCTTCTTTTGTTTGGGATCTTTTGTCATGAAACTGTATAATGAAGTATTTAAGCTTTCTTCTTCTAACACAATTTTAAAAATTGCCAGATAAATTAATCAACAGAAGTATTTAATTGTTGGTTAGAAGAGGTTTAGGAATATGCGTAAAACGATGTGCTTAAAACTTGTCAGTCAATAAATCTGGACAGATAATAAAAAGCCCAAAGTAGGAAAAAGTGGCAAATAAAATGCTTTAATTATAACTGTTAGCTAAGGTCTGGGATTCACATTTAAACTCTTACTTGGGGTCTATAAATAGTGAATGAATACCCATTTAAAATGTTGAGTTCATGGTAAAATTACTATTTATAACATAATGTAAAATCCTCTAAATATCATAAAAATAATAATAAGTAATAATTAGGCCTCCTGTGCACAGGCAAAAAAAAAATTGTCACATTTGTAGGCTTGTAGTGTTTTTTTTTTTAATGGAACTAAACACAGGTGATTATTGTCTAAAGCAGCAGTCTCTAACCTCCCTGGGGCCAGGGACTGGCCGCATGGAAGACAACCACTCCAGAGATGAGGGGAGAGGGGGTCTTGGCGGAGCAGCCTGACACCTGTAGGGGGAAAACTGGGTTTTGGGGGGACAGACTGTCTCCTCATGGCAGGGGGAAGGGGGTGCAGCCTGGGTCTCACCAGTGCTCTATGAGATCCTGTCCCCAGCAAGCTCTCCTCCCTTCCTTTCTCTTTCTTTGTGACCACAGAGAGGGAAGGAATTAGTGGTACTGGGAGAAGGGGAGCGCCTCTGGTGATCTGACTTACTCTGCTCACCGCCCCCGGCCGCATGGCCTGGTCCCCCAGCAGGCCATGGATCGGTACCAGTCTGCTCCCCAAGGTTTGGAAACCCCTGGTCTAAGGAACAGTGCACAGCTGCATAAAGTTCAGTAATGCAATAATGAGTTCAGAACTGTAAAAAACCATTAAAATTGTATGTTTGTGTGCAGTAATTTCCATGTACATGCATGTTTACACAAGTATACTACGTATGAGTATAACTTGCAACACTGGCAGCTAGAAGAGGAGAAAGAAGAATTTGATGCATGTATGAGTCTACGCACACATATACAAGATCTTTATGGAACATTACTTGTGCTTTTTACTATGGATCTTTCTGTCAGCAAGATCCTGTGTATAAACATTGGTAAATTATTACGTCCATGTGCAAAAGGCCTTTATATACATTTAAAACTTTATACTAATAGCAGTACAATGCCAGATTTTAAGGGCTGTCTTAATGTAAAGCACAATAATGCCAAATCTCAAAGGGCTTAAAGGTCAAAGAAAAAAAGAAGTTGTCTTCAGAGGGGTACATGAGATGAGCCAAACTGAGATTGGTTCCAAAGAACCCAAGTTTTTGGATTTGTCCATATTTATGATTTTTACTGTAAGGGATACTGACATCTGCATTTCTAAAATTCTGCAAAACAGGTTAGAATTGGTTGGTATAGAATCTGATTTTCATCTTAGGTCTCATTCACATGGGGCATATTAATGCGTTTGCCCCTGTTAGGCTGTGTTTACCTGCTCTGGTGTTCCGTGCATACCCATGCAGGCAGTGCCATTGATGCAGCAGCTGCACAGACACAGCCAATGCTTATAATTTGACATCCATGTGGATGTACGGGCCTGAATGGATGTCAAATTGGGAGCAGTGGCTGTGTCTGTGCAGGTGCTCCATCCCAATTGGTACCAATAGGACTGATTGCACGAAGATGCACGGAACACCTGTGCTTCCTTGTGTAGGTAAACATGGCCTCACATGGGTGTACGCAATAATACGTGAGACCTAAGATGAAAATCAGAATCTATACCAGTACATGTTGACCTGCTTTGCAGTATTTTGGAAATTCAGATGTTAGAAACCTAGCAAGAATCAAATATAAATCCAAAAACGTTGGGTATTTGGAACCAATCTCAATTTGGCTCATCTCAGATACCCCTTGGACCACAACTTCTTCTATTCCTGGATCTTTAAGCCCATTCAGACTTTAGCATTATGGTGCATTGCATTAAGACGGCCCTTTGAAATTACTAGGCTGGCAATGCACCAAAATGTAAAAAAAATGGACATGTACCTTTTTTGGCAACGCAGCAAAGACAATACAAGGTAGTATGTCACCATGCTTTGTGGTGTGCTGCAATGCATGTGTGTTGGAGCTGTGTTGTCTTAATGCATTGCAGTATCACTCAAAATAAATGGTATCACAATGTGCTGACACTTGTAATACACTCTAATGCATGTTGTAAAAACAATATTAACAGTAATAATTTATTTATTTCAGTACTTATATAGCGCCGTCAATTTACGCAGCGCTTTACATATTGTACATTCACATCAGTCCCTAACCCTCAAGCGGTGTACAATCTAAGGTCCCTAACTCACATTCACATATGATGGACAATTTAGACAGGATCCAATTAACCTACCTGCATGTCTTTGCTGTGTGGGAGGAAACAGGAGTACCCAGAGGAAACCCATGCAGGCACAGGGAGAACATGCAAATTCCAGGCAGGTTGTGCCGTGGTCGAGATTTGAACCAATGACCCTACTACTGCCAGGCGGAAAGTGCTAACCACTAAGCCACTGTGCCGCCCCAGCCACTGTGCTACCCCGTAATATCACAGTAGTGTGTACATTACTGCAACTCACCGCATTGGAAAAGTGTACTTCAGACCTCAGTATGCCCGAGACCTCAGATGTTCTCCAATACAGATATGGATTTCAGTGATTACACAACACTTTCAGGTGCAAATTTTTATTGCTGATATTAACAGAATTGCTGCTCCATATAGTGGAAAAGATGCAAAGAAAAAAATCAGCTGCAGTTAATAAAAGATTTGTGTTGTAGCAATTTATGCAACTTGTAACTAGTTAAAGCGGAACTAAACTCTGTCAATCAGCAGTAATGATTTTTAATTCTTGTGTGGCTAGCATTAGTATATAGAGAGGAAGGTACATTATATTTATATATAGTCTTCTGCGTGGCTCCCATCCCTATCATTGGGAGGCCACTCATGATGTCCTAGCACCTGGCTCCATTCCCAGAATCCTACAGATGCTGGAAATGGGCCAGGAGTGTACACTATAAGCAAAATGTTAGGAAATAGGGAAATTGTTTTTTTTTAAGCAGAAGAGACATGCAAGATTCCATAGCATACTTTTTTTTTCTTTCTTTTTGTATGCTTAAGTTCTGCTTTACCACATGAAGTTATCATTCTAGTGGTCCTTTAAGCTACATTTGACATTTTGTCAGTAAGCAGCATAATTATTTGTTTATCCTATGTCACCTTTATTAATAGCACAAATCCCAGGCAGTTTAACACCATGCAGTCAGTTCTGTGTGGTCTGCTTTCCTAATCTATGTAAGGAATGGTTAGACAACTTCCCCCTCTGCTTAGGTCCAAGTCTTGTCACAGCTTGTTTTCTATGTAACTGTAACACTTACAACAGGGTGACTTCCACATACATGCCGAGGATGAGGCTTCTGTCAGTGGGTGCACGTGTCACCTTGTGATCCCACCACTGTTCTAAACTCTGATATCTATGAAAGGTGATCGGGTTCTGGCTAGCTGCCCCCATGCCAGGACTTAGAACTTCAAATTAATAAATCTGCATACAGATTACAGAGCTTCACCTTCTCTGTCCCTGTACTATTTAAATGCACTGGGCCACTTTTTACTATTGGGTGACTGTCAACATGCTCTTCTCACACAACCAGTGTTCACCCCACTAGAGAAGAGTCCTTTCACATTGGAAGTCTAAATGTAGCCCTCTTATCATTTTTGAAGATTTCCTTCCTCCAAAGTAGCTACAGACAAGCCAGGCACACAGCTTTCACCCATGTCTTCTCACCTTGGGGTTGGTTTGCTAAAACTGGAGAGTGTAAAATCTGGTACAGCTCTGCATAGAAACCAATCAGCTTCTAGGTTTTATTTACATAGTTAGTCTGTCTGAAAAAGACAAAAGTCCATCCAGTTCAACCATTAAAACAAAAAAGTTATAATCCTACACCCACAGTTAATCCAGAGGAAGGCAAAAAAAACTAGCAAAGCATGATTCAATTTGCTCCTCCAGGGAAAAAAATTCCTTCCTGATCCCCCGAGAGGCAGTCGGATATTCCCTGGATCAAC